AGTAAACGAATGGGTGATGCCACAGTCAACTTCCTTGTCTCCTCTCCCTTACCACACTCGCGACAGAACACGACGGCGGCATTTTTAGCGGTTGGGAGGTCATGCATGCCCAATGCTCCTGGATGACTGACATCAACTCGACCAGGTACCACCCTGGCGCAGGGACGAGCAGAACGGAGTCTGGAAGCTTCCCCTGACGACTGAGGGAGGATTTCCACGTAGCTGACTCTCCACCTGAAATCCCGTGACCGGATTCGGTAGTTCTGCACTCTCTCTGCGCTTTCTGCCCCCCCGCGCCTGTGGAACCAAAGCATCATCAGGCCCCCCCAAAATTGCTCCCAGCCGAGATGAGACGCTGCACGGAAAAGAGCCAAAGGGCTCAGGACCTCCTTTTCAGACGATAGCGCCGTAAACAGGCCAGGTGCGACAGTCCTTTTGTATTGCATGGATTTGGGCTTAGTGAAGAACATGTTGCGCAGGGTCCTGCTTGCAAAAAGGAAGCTCAGTGTTCTGGTTTGTCGGGTGCGGAGAGCCACCCCAAATCTATCACCTGAAGGCATTCCCCATGTAAAGGTGCTCTTTTTTACGTTGCCGCCACGTTGAAGCCAATTATTGTCACTTGACCTTGATTTGGGTTTTCAAACTTTGTCTAGACAGTCAGTACACAGGAACTTGTAAGTTTGCACCCACCAACCACCCATTTGGTGTGAAACATTGCAAGCGTGGGGCTCCCTGCTAAAAAATGTGGAAGAGCCTTGCTCATAGCCAGGAGCCGAAGGAATCAAAAGAGGATCCCCGGGCGGAGTCCGGGACTCGGAGATTTCTTTGCAGTTCTCGGCGTTGATCAATACGGAGTTTGTTGAAGGAGGCCTAGAAACGGCGAGTTGTCTTTGTTTTTGGGTTTCCCTTTAGTCACCCTATGGGCACCCCATCGGTCTACCAATGTGAGGCACATGGGCAGACTCTCCCCGGAAGTGCAATGACCCAGGCCGAGGGAGAGAGCGTCCAGAAGGCCAAGGCCGCGCCCAATCGCCATGAGTGACGTGTTGCAGGAACGGATTGTTTTTTTTTTGTGTGTGTGTGTGTGTTTGTGTGTTTGTGCGTGTGTATTTTCAGGTTCCACCTTTTTGACACAGTGTGTGTGTGTGTTTTTGTGGATAGAAAAGTCGGGCGCATGGACCTGACATTTCCTTAGAGCAGCCTTCTCCAATACGCCAATTGGGGAAAGAGTAATGTTCGTTTGGTCATGGACTCATGGATTTCCCGTGGCCGATGGCCAACGCTGTGCCCCCCAGAAGAGAAAGAAGACAGGGAGTCCTGAAAAACGGCCAGTTGTTCCTATTGTGTCGAATATTGTCCAATCTTGTCGGATATTCAGAAGATATGTTTTGAAGCTGTACTGAAATTATCGTTGATGGGTGTCTTCTTCGGCGTTGTCAGGAGTATCCCTCGCTCCAAGGGGAAGCTCATTCGCTGCAAGAGCCTGAGCGATTTCGGATTCGCCGATTCGACCCTAGGTCTGAGGAGCGCGGGGAGAGGAAGGAGAGGGAGGGTCAGAGGAAGGATTCCAGGAGACGAGGAGAGGAGAAGCCGCAGAAAGAGCGAAAAGACGAAAGGAGGAGTGACAAGAAGGATGGGAAGAGGGAAGAGAAGCGCAGAAGAGAAGCTTCTCCTGAGAAGGCGCGGAGCACCTTGAAGCTTTGCTTAAGAAAACACAACAGAGTCTGAGATGGGCAAGATGACGCAGATGATGCGCTTCTGCACCCGTGTCACTCGGCTGTTGACCATGTGTTGGTTGAGGCCGAAATCTCGCCTGCTGAAAGCAACAGCTATTATACTCCTTGCTTGCAAGTACTCTTGATTGCCGTTGCGCAGGGCCACGACAAGCGATTCTCACTGACTTAGGACTGCGCCACAGCCAGGAAACTGGATGACATGCGTCGTGTTAGAACCAGAAGCCCTTTTTGCACATGTCCGCTTTTGTGATGGTTTACCGATTTTGAGTCACGCCAGTTTTTCTAACAAGTTGCCAGCTCTTCCTGCCAATCATGGTCTTATTTGATTGCTTGTAGCCTCTTCCCCACCAGCAATTTGCTGGAGATGTTCAAGGCGCATGCAGATTAGAGGACCCTTGGCCATTTCTCTGCATCACTGAATTGACCCAGGCTTCCTTTAAGTCGATCTTGCGAGTTCAGTAACCACACTTCGGCATTTTAACTCAAGGGATCTTCACTGGCATGTCCAATTTGTTGTTTGGGAGTGAAACAGCGATGTAGATGCATGCCCACCCTGCATTTGGGGCCGGCATGTGGTTCTTTTTTTGGCTACCTGTTCTTGGCCACGTTGTCTCAGAGGCCCACGAAAAGCCGCCTGGTGGTGTTTCTCTTGATCTCACGTTGACGCCAGGAGAGGCAGCAGAGGACAGTCCACAGTCGGTTTCCCGAAAACGGCCAAGAAGATTCCGCTGAGATTGCGCTGTACAGAGATGTGTCTCGTTGCATACCGCATACCCCGATACGTACCCAGACTCTAAATGATTTTCCACGGGCGCCTGCAGTGCAGACTTTGGCAGAGCATGCTTTTGCTGGAGTCAGCCTGCACAGAGCTTGCCCTTCAGAAGACTGGGAGGGGCCGGAAGCATCCTCTTTGCATACGTTGCCGTCAAGCACTGCCTGCCCCTTCCATACCTACGTAGGACCCCCGTTACATACCTGCGTAGCAAGATTTCATATCTCGCCGCGCGCCACCTCCCCTAAATCCATACCCATATTACCAATAATTAGATCTCCCAAGAGATTGTGCAGAAAGATGTTGTTGAAAGATCGCAAAAGAGATTGCAGGGAGAGACTGCACGGAGAGATACTGCAGAGGTATTGTCAGATAGATTGCTCAGAGACTTGTCCGACATATCCTAGAAGACTCTCATTTGGGTGTGTTTAAACAATTGGACTTGCCAACGCGTCGCAGAACCGACCACAGTCTGCGAAAGTAAGCTTCCGCATGTGTTTTTGTTTAAAGCCGACAACTTAATCGAAACGTGACTTTCGCGGTCCCCACCTGACCTTTTGCGCGGATCTTGCATGTCGAAAAGCCGGATGAACATGCAACTTGATGGGCGACGCGCAACCCTTTGCGCACATCATTAAGCAGACCAATGCGCAACAGTCAATGGACACACTACTTTTACATCCTCACGTGACCCTGCGCCGTTGTGTGGATCGCGCGTATTGTGGTTTCCGGCTCTCCAGGTTCGAGCGGATGTGAACGCCATCGGGTTTTCCAGGATTTCCATCGAGCTAGGGGGGGCTCCGCTTGAGTGCGTTAATGTTCTTTCCAACCATACGTTTCCATGTGTTGGTCGGGCACGAGTCTCCCGCTGGACATGCCAATTTCCATCAACCAAAATCGGCTGTGTGAGACAATCTTGGGAAGCTTCAGCGGCCCGAAATGCCGCACGACAGCGAGTTATGCCGCACACACAGCTTCTTCAAGAGTCCCCAACCAGGGAAACCACAAACAAGTTTCAATTCTGGGCTTCTTTAGGCCGATAGGCAGCATGTTTGGAGAGAACCCTCATGAAACCCCTGGTTAGGCACCTCCGACTTCGGGGTTTTGGCGGGGGGACAGTAAGTGCAAAGACCGCATATGGCAAGTGCCGGTGACGGAAGAATGGTTATCATAAATAACTCACCAATACCAAAGAAATGTTGCGCTTCAGCATGTTCTTTTCGTTCTCCTTACAAATTATTGGGCTGGCCCGATTGCAGCCGACTTTGGGGGTGCCCGATGAAGAACTCTGGCAGGACATCTAAGCGAAGAAGGCCAGGCGGGGCAAAAGAAAGGTGGGAAACATCCTGGGGCGTTAGCAGAAGTGGAGTTACTCGGATTCCGCTGATGCTACTTGACTTTTGCTCACTGAGTTTGCGTGATTTCCTCATGTAACGCCTAAGCATGTTCTTCTCAGTCCGGCTAGGTGCCTTTGTCACGCTTGGAACATATCGTGTGTGAATGATTGCAGTGACATACCCCGGCAAATATGTGCTGCTCCGTGGTCACAACATTGGCTTGAATGTTGAAGCTACGCTCTTGAAACAAAGGTATTCTCACCGCACAACTGCTTCTTTGCGCTGCAATGTCAATGTGAGATTATTTGAAGCATTGGAGCTGCTGACACGCTTTGGGTTGGGATCTTTCGCGGGCCTTTCGATTTCAGCATTTGGGCGTTTAGGCATGTGTGTTTAGTCGGGAGGCGTTTAGGAATGTTCGGATCCGGGGTTTGCATTCGCCTGGGTGAATTATGACTACCTCACACGACCTCGCCCCAAATGTGTGTTTCTGTGGGGGAATAGCCCCCAAACCACCTCATTTCAGGTTGGTGAAATATTATAATTCACCCAGATTTGCTTTCGCCTCCTTACCCGTTGTTCGTTGCGTGGCTGAGCTTCTCGCCCACAACTTCGAGCAGGTCCCGATCCCGCTCCAGACGGCGGCGCAAAGATTCCAGGGATCGCCGCAGGTAGAAAGAACGACGTCATGTCTCAATTCAGAGGGAGCGTCACGGGTTGGCCTGTGAGTGATGATGTGTTTTTTGGTTTTTGTGTGCGACCAGGGGAGCGGTGCAGGGAAAAAAACACAGAACAGAAAAACATGATACACCTCAGGCTAGCCCTTGGATTGGCTTGCTCAAACTTGCACTTGGGAGAAGCAACAACAGCATGATTGGCGGTACATCTTGTTTGTTGTGTCATCCTCGTTGCTCACGATCTCATCACAAAAGTCGTCATTCTTCCAGTTGGCATGACGGCTCAATGACACATGTCAAGGTAAAGTTGCATGGTGAACTTCAATTGAATGGACGCCCAAATGAATCCCCGCGCCATCCTTCCAAAGGGTGCAATGCAATCTAAGGTTTTTGGTGGCGCCACATGGGTGTGTCTTTGTTAGGGACCCTCGGAAATTGTGGTTGTCCTTTTGGTTTTCCTTTTTCACGCCAAAAGAAAGGGGTAGCCTCAAAACAGACACCCCCACATGAGTCTGAGCATGATTCAAGCTGGTTGGTACTGTCACCACCCTGTGGGGAGTACGTGGCAGGGCTTGGGGAAGGTTGGCAGGTGCGGTATCCCAACTCCGAGACAGTTTCCGTCCGACTGCGGGATGAGCCAAGGGTCGCGGGAAGCCGCAGCGTCGCTGGTGGAAGATGGCTGCTATCGCAAGACGTTGGGCAGTTCAGCGTTGAGTCAGCGAAGTTCATCCAAGAGGAAGAAAGGGCGTCAGAGAGGGAAAGCCAGCTGCGACAGAATCGGCAAGAAGAAGTCGCGAAAGAGTTGAATGGCAGGGTGTACCGTGCCTTGCTTCGGAGACAAAAGTGCTTAGTCGTGCCGAGCATACTTATCACCAGCATGTTTTTGGGTTCCATGGTGTTCTGCGCTGTGAAGGCGTTTGAGACCACGCCAGACCAACTGCAAGCAGTGGGGCTCAGTGTCGCAGCACTTTTTCTGTGGTGGTGCTCTTGCGTAGGCTTCAATGGCATTTGGTTTGCTCTGCCAGATGCTGGCGAACGCCAGGATTTCGAGACCGCAGTCCATTCAGCACTACAAGCTCTCCAGTGTGGTCTACGACAAGCAGGGCTGCGACTGGAAGCACGTAGCTACGTGGCTCGCTGGCATTCCCGTCATCGGTCTGGGCTGTGTGGTGGCTATCACGGCGGCCTACGGCTTTGTGGCGGTGGTTGTGATCCTATGGGCTCCAGCAGCTGTGCTGCTGTGCCTGCTGCTTCGTGTGTTGCGTCAACGTCCGGCAAGAGGACACGGAGTGGGTCGTAAAGTGCACTGCCAGGGCATATGCTGCTTTGGAGTGCTTCTTCATGTGGCCATGGCGGATCCTGCAGCACTGCTTCGGTACGAACCTGAAGTTCCTGCAAGCGCCGCAAAAGAGTCCCTGGATGTGGCGGTGCTCAACACCCACCAGCACACAATCGTCTTCGAGGGCAACGTGCTTCCGGGCCTCCACAGTCACGTCCTGGCCTGGGAAATACGAGTCCGCTTGGGACACCGTGGTGGCGGGCGCTCGGCACGAGGAACTCAGCGCCGCTGTGGTGTTCCTCCCGAAAGGTTCGCGCCACTACGGGCATCATGACCAAATCCCTGCAAAGGAGCTGCAAGACTTGGAGGGCTGTTGGTGCAAGCTTTTGTGAGAAGAAAAGCCATGGGGATGCAGGTGGTGGACGCGCTGAATCGAGAATGTAGAGAAGGCAGTCCAACAGGGTTGCACCCTGGTTGTTTTCTATTTTAATGGCACGAAGGGTCAAGGCAAGGTGAAGAGCTTCACCTCCGCCGGAGCCGAGCATTTGCGTAGAGAGAGGATTTTTAGTCGAAAGCCCGAGTTTGAGAAATCAGCTGCCATGCAGAAAGCCCTAGACGCTGGCCTTGAGAACCTCTCCAGAGCGAGAGGTCCAGATTCATCTTCTCGATCTCGATATTCGTCCATCGACTTTTGGCCTGGCTTCCCGAGCGCCACTTAGAGTCCGAAGGACTTGGAAATCAGGCTGAAGTGGCCTGGCCTTTGAGAAAGGGTTATCCCTACGAGGAGGTCTTTGAACGACTTGCCGCTTCGCAGGCGATAGCTGCTCTTGCTAAAGGCCCTTGCGAACGGGCAAGCTGCAATAGTCTTGTAGAAACAGGTGGCGGTCTCACAACAAAAAACATGAAGAATTGTGAACACTATTACGCGAGATGTTAGCGTAAGGGTGGAATGTTACTTGAACCCCTTGGCGAAATATGGGAAGCATTCTAAAGGTCCTTGTATGTAAGGAGTTTAGTATTCGGCGACCATCGGTGTTGGTTGAGACACCTTCTCGAAAGACTCGCGATGGAGTTGTGAAAGTATGCTGTATCTTGTAAGTCAGCGAGATCTGAAAAGTTGCGATTTTCCAGCCGGAGCTGCGGAAGTGACTCTTCTACTGAGAAGTTGCGGAAGCGCATTTCACGCACTACTTTTGTGCTGAAAAGGTGCTGGAGCTGCAGAAGCGCATTTTGCGTGTTGCACTTGTGCCGAAAAATTGCGACTATTTGACTTTAGCAATTGAAAGTGCATGGCGATGAATCCGCACAAAGTTCGCGAAGTTCAGGTTTATTTTCGTGAAGAATTTCAAACGGTCGGTATATACTACAACGCAAACAGAAACTAAATGAGGTTTCCTTCAATTGTTGTGTTTGGTTTAATATGAAGTTAAATTCATGGCACTTGGCTGCCTATTCGTTCTGTTTTGCTGTCAGGGTTTTCATGTTGTAGCGGTTAGTTGAAAGGTGGAAAAGGTACAGAAGGAAACCGCTGGCGGCGGCAGCGGCAGCTGCAAGGTGCTCCCGGCTGCTTTGCTGCCTGCCGCTAGCAGTTGGTGGGCTCTCAAGTGTAAGCCCCTATTTGAAACCGCTGGCGGGCACCCTTCGTTACCCATTTGAACTTGTTTTTTTTCCGCCAAAGGATTCAAATATGGGCGTCTGCATTTAGCCATTCTTGCTGGACACTGATTTTTGAGCTCAACCCACTGCCATTTACGGCAACAGACCCAAAAAGGGCACGTTCTCTGATGGGGTAGCGCGGCATGCCGCTCATCAAAAAGCGGCCAGCTTCAAGCAACCAGGCCAGACCCCTCAATTACCTTTCAACATTTCTCCTCTTCTAAAATTCTAAAATTGAGGTGGCGCTATTCCAAGATGAAGAAAGTGAAGCTGGAGATCCTCCAAGCAGCCCTCGACCGGGCTTAAACATGATCAGTCTGATTCCTCTCAATTTGGCTGGCAGCTTACGTTTGATGTGTGAGCCTGCCCAGGCCCTCCAGCAAGGAGGTTGAAGCGACGGACAACTGATGATGGTTCTGACTTTGCACCATATCCCCGGGCAACACCGCGCCCGCAGCGGCACAGTTGAACAGTTGAACATAGACTTGCTCACTGATAACTGGCCACAACTCGCTTCGACGCCAAGGCACGACCAGCCGGGCACTTTCTATGAGCTATTTGACTGGCCAAATGTGATGCTCAAACAGTTTGAGAGTCTTGGCTAACTTTGGAGTTGCGCAGCTTCTGTGCGAATCAAACCCTCGCTCACCAGGTCAATATTAGGAGCATCTTTCATGGCGAGCAAGCTGGCCAACACACCAGTAGCTATGGACACACGGTTTACTGGCATTGACTGCGCAGCTGCCGCGATTGACCAGCTCATTCTTTGCGGCTGGGTCAACCTCTTTTCTGACAACCTCAGGGGCTGGACAGTCATGTTTATGAGGGGTCTGCTTGCAAGAGAATGGGACTGCGCACCTTCGTGTCTGCCTTTTCCTCCTTCTCCAGCTTTACCTTTCCCTCTTCGCCGGGATCGTGCTTCACCTTGGGTCCAAGGGCCTCCTTCACGCTGGCCACACAGGCCCGAAGCATGGGAGACTCCATGACCCCCAACGCAGGCTTGGGCCGCACGCCTGGGCCGGGGCGTAGAAAATCGGCGTGGGTCAAAGTAGTACTCCAAGAAAATCGGCGTGGGTCAGGCTGGGGCTAAACCAAATCAGCGTAGGTGGCGGTCAAATGCCATCAACATCAGCGTAGGTGATGGTTGAACAACGGTTAAATCGTCGTGTCTCGGGCGCTGAACCACACTGATTTTGGAAAGATCGTAGATGTCAGTCCAGTGATTTTTTTCAACAACATGATGTCAGAAATCGGCGTTGTTCGGGTGCTGAACCCCACTGATTTTCATTCAGGTTTATATGCCCACGCTGAAAAGATTACACGGCCAAAAGTGCAAAATCGCTGTAGGGGGGGTTGGCTAAAGCAAATTCGGCGTTGTTCGGCACCCGAACCCCACCGATTTCTGTGAGGACTTTGCTTCAGAAAATCGGTGGACCGACAATCTTCGAGTATGAGGCTTTACTTGGAAACAGCCAGGCCAAGCGCTCCCCGAAGTGTAAGCGAGGGACGAGGCATTGCCGTTGTTCAACTATCACCTGCGCTGATGTTAATGGCATTTGACCGCCAACTACGATGATTTGGTTTAGCCCCAGCCTGACCCACGCCGATTTTCTTTGAGTACTACTTTGACCCACGCCGATTTTCTACGCCCCGTCCCAGGCGTGCGGCCCAAGCCTGCGTTGGGGGTCATGGAGTCTCCAATGCTTCGGGCCTGTGTGGCCAGCGTGAAGGAGGCTCTTGAATCCAAGGTGAAGCACGATCCCGGCGAAGAGGGAAAGGTAAAGCTGGAGAAGGAGGAAAAGGCAGACACGAAGGTGCGCAGTCCCATTCTCTTGCAAGCAGACCCCTCATAAACATGACTGTCCAGCCCCTGAGGTTGTCAGAAAAGAGGTTGACCCAGCCGCAAAGAATGAGCTGGTCAATCGCGGCAGCTGCGCAGTCAATGCCAGTAAACCGTGTGTCCATAGCTACTGGTGTGTTGGCCAGCTTGCTCGCCATGAAAGATGCTCCTAATATTGACCTGGTGAGCAAGGGTTTGATTCGCACAGAAGCTGCGCAACTCCAAAGTTAGCCAAGACTCTCAAACTGTTTGAGCATCACATTTGGCCAGTCAAATAGCTCATAGAAAGTGCCCGGGAGGTTGTGCCTTGGCGTCGAAGCGAGTTGTGGCCAGTTATCAGTGAGCAAGTCTATGTTCAACTGTTCAACTGTGCCGCTGCGGGCGCGGTGTTGCCCGGGGATATGGTGCAAAGTCAGAATCATCATCAGTTGTCCGTCGCTTCAACTTCCTTGTTGGAGGGCCTGGGCAGGCTCACACATCAAACGTAAGCTGCCAGCCAAATTGAGGGGAACCAAACTGATCCTGATCATGTTTAAGCCTGGTCGAGGGCTGCTTGGAGGATCTCCAGCTTCACTTTCTTCATCTTGGAATAGCGCCACCTCAATTTTAGAAGAGGATGAATGTTGAAAGTTAATTGGGGGGTCTGGCCTGGTTGCTTGAAGCTGGCCGCTTTTTGATGAGCGGCATGCCGCGCTACCCCGTCAGAGAACGTGCCCTTTTTGGGTCTGTTGCCGTAAATGTTGAGCTCAAAAATCAGTGTCCAGCAATAATGGCTGAATGCAGACGCCCATATTTGAATCCTTTGGCCTTCTTTGATAGCAGCCCGGAAAAAAAGAAGTTCAAATGGGTAACGAAGGATGCCCGCCAGCGGTTTCAAATAGGGGCTTACACTTGAGAGCCCGCCAACTGCTAGCGGCAGGCAGCAAAGCAGCCGGGAGCACCTTGCAGCTGCCGCTGCCGCCGCCAGCGGTTTCCTTCTGTACCTTTTCCACCTTTCAACTAACCGCTACAACATGAAAACCCTGACAGCTCAACAGAACGAATAGACAGCTAAGTGCCATGAAATTAACTTTATGATGAATTTATTGATATGGGATTATTTATTGATGGAAAATGTTTTTTTAGAAATAATTTAGAATGGATATTGATTGGATGTCGATCGATTTTTAAAGGAATAGTTGAATTAAATTTAAAAGGATTGAATTTAAATAATAGATTAATGATAACATTTATATAAAATGAAGGAAATGTATTTTAGATTTGAAAGAAACAAATTTAAATATAAAATATATAAATTATATTAAACAACTATATATATATATATATTTATTATTATTAATTTTATGATATTAATGTAAATATATATATTTTGTATATATTATTATTATTATTATTATTTAAATTATGATTTTTTTTTAATATATGGTTTATATAATATTTATTTTATTAATAAAATAATATTTTATTTTAATTATATTTAAAAGGAAATTATATTATTTTCCATATATTTAGATTTATATAAATAGATATATTATAATGAAGGTTTTATTTTTATAAATTGGTATGGCTTTAAAATCATATTTTGTATGTATTTATAAGTTGTTGTAATGGTATTCCGGCCGAATTGTAATGTTTGTGGCGAGCGGTTATATTTATTTTGCGGTTTTTTTTTTTGCGATAGATTTTGATATGGAAGATTCCGGAATGTTGCTCGAATTTTGGGTGATTTTTAGGTTGTTGGATATTACCTTTAAAAATTTCTTTAGAATTTGGCGATGTTTGAACCAAAATATTTCGAACATTTTATATTAATTTTTATTTATTAAATATGAATTTATCAAAAAAATATTAAATTAATATTTAATATATTAATATTAAATTGAATATATAATATTTAAAAAAATATATATAATATTTTATTATTTATGAAAATGAATTTTTATATAAATATATATATATATTTATTTTTTTTTATATGTAAATATTATATAAATATATATTTTATAAACAAATTATGATTTTGAGAAATATTTATCGATTATATTTAAGGGTTATGATTATAAGCATAATGTTTATGATTTTCGAGGTCGTTGATAATTTATTTATATATATTTTTTTAATATTGGGTCTAATATATAATTATAATTATATTATATTTATATAATTTTATAGTATAAATTTATTTATATTATAATTATATTTATGTTATATATAATAAATTTGAATTGTAAAATTCAATATATAAATAATTAAATTATTATAAATAATATTCGATATAATATTAATCCACTAACCAATTATTTTATATTATGCTTTATTTATATTTAAATAATATTCATTAATAACAAATTCTAATAAAATACATTCCAATTATTTTAATAGTATACCAATCTTTTTGCGAATCAATTATGCATAGCTATTTAATCCAATTCCGATTATTTAATTTTAATAATATATTCGGCAAAATCCATTACCAAATTATTCAAATAAATCTAATAATAAAATATTCTAATAATATATATTCTAATAAAATATTAAACAAAATCCATTAATAAATAATTCTTATAATATATATTCTAACAAATTACCCTATTATAATCAATAATATATATATCATCATTAATGTTTTCTACTAAAATATTCATCAATAAATAAATTTAATAAATATTCAATAAACATCATTAATAAATTATTTAAATAAAATTATAATAAAATATATTGAAATATCAATATAAACAATATATCCTTATCATCAAATAAAACAAAATACCCCTAAATTCCAATATGTGTTTTTTCCCCCCCAATTATAATTCATCTTTTTCAATCCTTTTATTCATACATGTATATATATTACAATATTTAATTCCTCCCATAATTAAAAAAACATCCTTCATAAATAAAATATTTCCAAAATCCAAAAATATTATTTTTTTAAGCCAATATTACACAAATTTTAATATATATTTCTAACCATATTCAATTCCAACCCAATTATAGAAATCCAACCACATATTTCTTTCACTACAACTAAACTACAAAATTGCAATTTTCGATTCACAATTAAATATGTTTCCTAAATACTATTATATTACAAAATATTCCCGCTATTTAAATTCCTCAATCAGAAATATATATTTAATACGATTATTCGGACTAACATAAAAACATCATAATTATAAACGAGCTCTGAAAAAAACAAAATACACCTATAAAATCTGTCCTGCAAAACCGAAGGACCCCTAAATAACAAGTTGTGTTTTCTTTCTTTTTTTCTAACTAGGGAGGGTGGAGGCGTGTTTTATTGTTAGGAGGAAGGAATTATATAAATTATAGATATATATTTGTTATGTAGTTCTATGCATTTTACAGAGCACTGTTCCATTATGTTGTATTGGGAATTCAATCATACAATATGTTTAGTACCCTCTCCCGGGCCCTCCGTCCCGGCCCCCAATGCCCAACCCCTTGAGACAAAGCGGGACGTTGCTTCTGTGATAAAGCGACAGCAGCTGCATCTACCTGTGCGTCTTTTGATCACCCCGAATATGTTTTATGACACATGTATCTCGAAATCGTTGTGTCAGCAATTCCTTACGCACACCCCGAATCTTGAATAAACTGCATGCACGCTTGCGCGTCTTGATTGCACACCTGGTGGTGGCTATCTGAAGGTCAACATGATGCGCACTTTTCGCTTTCTTCTTGCATCTTGCTGGCCACATCCAGCCAAGCTCTTTCAGAGATACGGTCATCGCCGACTCTTCGGGCGAAGGTCTTGTACCTCGCAGCGCGAAAAAAACAACAGAAAAGAGGTTGTCTTGCAGAAAGCCCCAAAGGAACTGCAAGTAACAAACAAATCCGGGCCACTGCCTACAAACACACGCGGCTCTTGGTTCAATTTGCCATCAGGCGCCTGGGGCAATTCACGAAATGCGGCCAGAGCACGGCACGTCCAGATGTGGGCAATGCGGCAGATCTCGGGAAACCAGGCCTCCGTGGCCGTCTGTGAAGTGCACCTTTGCCACACCGTACCTCAGCGCCGCTCGAAGAAAAGGCCCATGGGATGCCCCACATGGAAGCCAGGTACCCGACAACCCAATCAAGAGATAATGCCCTCCAAGGGGTTCCAAGCGTCAAGCAAGCGGTCTCAAGATGATAAGCAGGCCACGGAACCAAAAGGTCGGCTTTGGATGCCAGTGGCTCGGAGTCACTTTCAGCTGCAAGTGCGATTTGTTTGCACATCACACAGCGAGGCTGAGGGTTTGACACATACCTGAAAACCCGGCGGTGCTGAATTTCTGCCGCTGATTGAAATTGCAATATGTTCGCCGTTGCTGCCAAAAAACGCTTTTGGTCCCCACAAACGCCGTTGGAGCAATTCGTCAATATTCAAGGACTGCTGTGAACGGCCAAAAACGCCGTTTGATCGCCAAAAAACGCCGTTTGATTGGCGAAAAACGCCGTTGGTAAAAATCAGTCGACCAGCTTGACCTTGCAAAAAGTCAGTTTCCCCCAAAAAAGCCTGGAGGCAGAAATTCACGTTCCCAGACTGAAAAAGCAGTTTTCGTTCAACAGGCGGAAATTTTACACACCTTGGGATTCCCAGGTATGTCCCCTAACCGCTGGTTTGATAGGCAAGGCAACCACAAAAACTCCTGGGAGCTTCCACACTAGGCTTGCCCAGGGAGGACCTGTCCTGAAGTTCCACGTTCCTATCTTCAAACCCTCAGTTCCAGTGGTATCTCCCTTAACGCCCTCTTTCTCCCTTCCGAGCCTTCATTTTGCAACCTTCCTTCCGGGTGCTTGGCCGCTTGGCCGGGCTCGCCAAGCGCGAGATCTCTCCGTCGCCCCGTACCCCCCCCCCCAAAACCCCCCGGGGCCAAGCGGCTTCTTCAAGAGGTGGATGCACCCGCGGGAGCACGGCTCCGCCCACCCAAGCCCGGGTCCTGGCAGATCGCATTTTCCCGCGGTTCCAAGGGCCCTGGGGGAAAGATCCGACCCAGCAGCCAGGCACATATGGACCAATCGAATCTGCTCGGATTCGATTTGGACTTTCTCTGAAGTTCATGTTGACTCCTACAAAAGGGGGCCTCCTGTTTTGGGACACGATGCGACGTGAAACCGCAGCCTCCGAGCGAGCCCCTTTGCAAGCCACATTCAGCGTCCTCGACTCCTGGCCCCTTTGAGAGATGACAACCACGGGATGTGCAGGTGAGACCATTCTCTGAGGGTAATTACTTGTTTGAGTTCACCCTGGCTACACCTTTTTTGAGTTTCCTTGCAGTGGACAAACTTGATCCCGGGTGTCACGTCAAGCCTGCATTGGTTAATCCGGCGCATTGAGATGAGATATTTTTCCCATGCACCAAAGCGAAGGACCCCTTGTTCAACGGGAAGCTCCAGATCACCATCGGCCAGGTTGTTTCAACGTAGGACGCGCAACCACGGGTATTTGGAATTTTGGGATGTTGCCAAACAGGGCACTGCTTTTGTTGCGCGCGGGTTTCAAAGGAGGTGGCCACCGGGAATCCCGAACCTCCGATCTCCGGCGGGTCCGACATCTGCGAGCTCCACCACCACCATCTGCCCGCCCATTGCATCCTTCAGACGGGGCAGCTGCAGCAAGCAGTGCACCTGGCGACCCGATCTAAACTCCTGGCTCACATTTGGGCTACTCCAAGTCTCAGATTCAGCTGTGCGCCTACCCCCAAAATATTAAACAGTTTTGGAGGAGACCCAAGGGAGGACTTTGTCAGAGGTTTCTCCACACGAGGATGAAATTGGTTTTGACCCACCGCCATATGCTGAAAAAAAAGGACACCTTTCCTGCAAAGCACCATGCCCCAGGCTTGCCAGAGCTTCACGCCTCTGCGTGGCGCTGTGTCTCCCGCAGCTTGGTCTTCAGCGGCGCCCGCCTGGCGAAGCATAGGCTTCACATGGCTTCACCTTTTCTGCGCCAAACGCCTACATGGCTGTGGGTCAAAACCAGTGGTACTATGTTGGAGTAGGTGCACCACCCATATTTTAGTGGTTGGATTGGGATGTTCACTTGGGGCTAACCGGGATTTTTGCCTTCAGCTTAAGAGTTGCCCAACTTTGGGGCTTGCACCCTCTTTCCAACCATGCCGAATGTGCATAGGGGGACGTTGGAGCATGAAAAACCTCCTTGAAAAGCCCCTCCTCCATGATCTTTGGACAAATGGGTACCTCCCACTCACTAACACGGCCCACATCGACCCACCAAAAGGCCTCTTTTGGAGGAACTCAGTCAGGGGTCCAGTCAGCCAGATTTCGCAGCGGAGCTGGTTCTACCAAGGTGGTTGTTAACATGTTTTAAAGAAGCCTTACTATCCCGATACGCCATCCCAACCTTTGCCTATTCCTGTGGCTATAACTTTTGCAGTGCTTTGCTCGGAATACGGGCTTCTGTCAGTCCAAATGATGGCTGCCTTGTCAGCCCCCCAAAGCCCCGTCAGATCAGAGCCCACGAAGCACAGCCCATACACGTGGCCACGGAGGCCGTGCATCCGCCCGTCGCGCCGACCAGCCGACGAGGTCCGAGCCTCCTTGGGCCCAAAGGCGCGGCCATGTGGTTGAAGCCTGGCGAGTGCCCAATCCCTAGATTCAAGTAACACCTTAGATGAGACATATCACAAGATGTCCCAAAAGACTGTGAGAACTGGAAAAGGGGTAAGGCAACCACATGGGCAGCTGGCAGGAGCTTCAGGCGAGCTGGGCGTACCACCTTGCTCCCAGTTGCGCAAATGGGTGGGCATTCTTTGCGAGGGTGCCAACTAGGAGGTGTGAAATACTTCAGAACGGAATCGCCCCTTCTGCAGCGGTCTCCACCACTTTACGCGTGTGGCACTTCACGTGCTCTGCGCCTTCAGCCAAGATGTTCAGATTGGCATCCACCAGGATGGCACCGTGTCTCCGGCCTTAGAAACCGAGTGGCGACGGCACAGGTGGCACAAGTGGCCATAGAATGAGCCGCGGCGAGCATTTTGTGGGCCAACATGGGCCAAGGTTGCCTTCGCGGAATGGCCTGAGGACCCTTTTGCCGAACAAATGCCATGCGACTCAGGCTTCTGGTGCTTCACAAGTAAAGCGCAGAGAGGAGAAATGGCTGCATAGACAAAAAATGCCCTCCACTTGGTGCTTCCACGCCGTCAAACCGGGAGATCTAAGCGAGAGGCTCCAACAAAATGTATCAAGTGCTTTCGCGGACCTTGGGGAGATTCCCCGCAACGCTCAAATCCTTCATCTTAGGAAACAAAAAGCGCTGCTCAAAACGAGGGAACTTCAAAGTCAGGGGTTCTACGAGGAAAGAACTTGCTTGAAGGCAAAGCAAAACTGCCCCATGCATGTTCCCAACAAATGCCATAGTCAAACGAAAGTGGCAAGGGCAAGTCCGAACAATCCCCAGCACATGCCGCAAATCAAGTAGCCCAAAGAAGATCCCTCTACAAACGATGGCCATATCTAAACTGGGCTGCCCTCAGATCCCCTGCAAAAAGTTTATCTTTTGGTGGGTTAGATGGAAATCACTAAAAGTTATCCGCGAAAAGCCCCACAAAACACTAAAAGGCTAAAAGGCCAAGGAACCGGATGGCTGGGAGCCACCAAGTAAAAATTGGATCTTCACCGGCCCTTTGACCGCGCCAGGCTCTTTTTTCTGGCGGGAGGCGGGCCACAGCGCCCATCCCGCCAGCGGCCAAGGCCGCCCTCTGCACCAGCTCAGGCAGGGGATGGTCACTGCCTCCCAACGGGGGGCGGTGGGTTCACGCGTGTTTGCCCCTTCTTTTTTTCCGGTGTTCTTGTTTCTTTTGTACCAGCCCCGGTTGTTTGCCATGCCCTGGCTCACTCAGCAACAGGCGTCCCCTCATGCGCTATCAAAGGCGGTTCAGTCAGACCTGAGGCCTCTTTCTTGTGAAAAAATGAGAAAAGTTGTGGCGGCATTCTATGCTGTAGGGGGTCGCGTTGGCCAGGCGGGGGTTGGTCCCCGGCCGCGCTCGGACCTACTTAGGGCTGCCTCTTGGCTCTGATGTGGCGGCAGTCGAGAGTTGTGGCTGGATTCGGGTCAGCTTTGGGCTTGCTGAGGTCTTAACGGGGACAGGTCTCGGGTCTGTTTGGGTTAAGGTTTACGTTTTGGGACCGACCGACCAACCAACCAACAAATCACAGCCAATACACCAAGCACGGGGATGCTGGGGACACAGAACCAACCAACCACTAGGGTTAAGCTCCAGCAGGGCTATTTTGTCAAACAAAAACGTTGGTTCCGCGCTGCGGGTGGCCTCCAAACACGGAAAAGAATGGCAGGCTCCATGACGTTTCTGCTGCCGTTGGAGCTTGGCTCCAAGGGCCTCGTGCTTAACATAGAAAAGATGCCATCACTGCGTAAGGAATCGCCTCTTCGGGGACCCCCCGCCCCCCGCTGAATTTGAGATCCATGTGGGGTGGAGCCTAAGCGGGCAAGACTTACCATTTTGAGTGTACCATGGAAAATGCAAACGGCAGTAGCACGTGAAACCAGAACCAACTGAAACCAGTGGCATCCATTCCATGTCCAACCACTGACCTCAAAGGACACCCGTGGCGCACGGTTGCAGTTGCAAAGCGGGCAGGACAAAGCGCAAAGCGCAAAGCCTCACCGGATAAAACAAAGCATAGACAAACAAAACCAACCAAGCAAATCGTAGGACCACATCATGGGGCTGAAGCAAAGCTGGATTCAGTCCAAGCAGAAAGCGTAAGATGCGTAAGGGCAGTGGCAAGTATTCCAAGCATCCTCTGCCCCACGGCAAGGCTGCACAACCATAGGCTGAGAACTGGAGCGTGACACAGCGCGGCCGTGTTTCAGTTGATTTTGGAGGTATGCCACTTGGGCATACGAAAGTAAGTGACAAACAGTCTTGCCCCTGTCCTTTCACCTCGTCGGCCATGGGCCCAAGCCCAGGTGGCCCAAGCCCAGCCTGGCGCGGGGCACACGCCGCAGTCGCGGAGGTCCTCCAAAAAGGCCGGCTGGAACGCCAGGCGCGGATCGATGTCCAGGCGCTCCAAGCCCCGCAAGCGGCTGGGCTCCCCCAGCTCCAGGCAAATGGCCCCGTAGAGCCCGGCGCCTGCGCTCAGGATTTGTTGGAACCGTCCATCGGCATATGGAATTGCAAGTGCGCCATCTCCAAAACTCTCCTTACGCCACTCCTTACGCATACCTTCCGCACCCCATGTTTTTCTTGCGCGACACATGGGCTTCAGGTGGGCCTTACGCAGCCCTTACGCTGGCTGATGCGAGCCTTTTCCTTTCACGCAGCAAAAGCAGTCACCATGACGAGCCCGCAAAGGCATATGAAGAGGAGGAAGAACTGCGAGACAACAGCTCCCAAGAGCCGGGCCTATTGTAGTAGCCTCGTCTTAAAGTATCCTTCTCGTTTGGCGGAGCCTTTCTTTTGCACAATGGCGCTGCCTTGTGGAGCAAGGCAGTGGCGTGCGGCAGAGCTGGAAACAATTAAGCTCGGAAGTTTCTACTGCAGGTCCAGGAAAGGCTTTTCCAAAGCCGGCATGGCTACTACTCAGAGACGCTGCTGGGGCGGGGGCTTATGCAAAGCTTACGCGAGCCATACGCAAAAAACACGATGAATCTCCCTGGTGTTGCGCTGCAAAATGGCAACAAACAGTATTGCTTTACAAGGCTGAAGAAACACATTGGACATTTCAAACAACATGACTCATCAAAACCTTACACAAAATGCTTTCGCACCGTGTTGTTTCAACATCTGCTTACGCCGCCTTACGCCCGTGCAGATGTTGCTTACGCCACGGCTTGATATGACATAGCCCTTGATAAAACATGTACACGGAGGTTTTGGACGTTGCTCAAGTGTCAAAACGCGAATGACACCTGATCGATGGAGCAATGGCTAACACATCATGACGATGTGGTTTAAAGAGGTTGCGAAACCGACCTCAAGTGCTCCACCCCCCCCCCCCCCCAAACCCCCGCCTTCCACGTCCACCGACCCCTCCGTCGAACAGCGATCCCAGCAGTCCAGGGCCAAGCGCCAGCGGAAGCGCTGGGCCTCCAAAGCCGCTCTGCTGGCCAGGTGCTGCGGCAGCAGTTCCTGCGACTCTGGGCCCAGATCCAGCCGCAAGCTGCTGCCACCCGCTCCCCCAAGATAGTCTTTCTCAAGGGTGCAGGCTTTCTTAGCGTGCGCACGTGTTTGTATGTGCGTGCGTGCGCGCGTGCGGGGGTGCGGGGGTGGGTGGGGTGGGTTGGGGTGGGGTGGGGTGGGGTGGGGCGGGGTGGGGCGGGGTGGCGTGGGTGGGTGGGTGGGTGGGTGGGTGGGTGGGTGGGTGGGTGATGTGTGGGTGATGGGTGGGTGATGTGTGGGTGATGGGTGGGTGATGTGTGGGTGATGGGTGAGTGATGTGTGGGTGATGGGTGGGTGATGTGTGGGTGATGTGTGGGTGATGTGTGGGTGATGTGTGGGTGATGTGTGGGTGATGTGTGGGTGATGTGTGGGTGATGTGTGGGTGATGTGTGGGTGATGTGTGGGTAATGTGTGGGTGATGTGTGGGTGATGTGTGGGTGATGTGTGGGTAATGTGTGGGTGATGTGTGGGTAATGTGTGTGTGTGTGATGTGTGTGTGTGTGTGATGTGTGTGTGTGATGTGTGTGTGTGTGTGTGTGATGTGATGGTGTGTGTGTGTGTGTGTGTGTGTGTGTGTGTGTGTGTGTGTGTGTGTGTGTGTGTGTGTGTGTGTGTGTGTGTGTGTGTGTGTGTGTGTGTGTGTGTGTGTGTGTGTGTGTGTGTGTGTGTGTGTGTGTGTGTGTGTGTGTGTGTGTGTGTGTGTGTGTGTGTGTGTGTGTGTGTGTGTGTGTGTGTGTGTGTGTGTGTGTGTGTGTGTGTGTGTGTGTGTGTGTGTGTGTGTGTGTGTGTGTGTGTGTGTGTGTGTGTGTGTGTGTGTGTGTGTGTGTGTGTGTGTGTGTGTCTGTGTCTGTGTCTGTGTCTGTGTCTGTGTCTGTGTCTGTGTCTGTGTCTGTGTCTGTGTCTGTGTGTGTCTGTGTGTGTCTGTGTCTGTTGTTTTTTGTTTGTTTGTGCTTATTTCTGTGTTTGTGTTTGGGCCTCCCCAAAAGAGGAGTATCAACATTTACCCAGAAGGTGATGTTTAAATATTCAAAGCGAGAATCAGAAGGATTGCTGAGCAATTCCCAGCCGCTCCACATTCCAAGCTTCCCAGGGCTTCTTTCTTGTCTGCGGATCATTGCGCATCTACTTGAGGGGTGAGCTCAATTCAGCTCACCACCCGGATTGCCATATGCCATGCGCACACCTGGTCCGAGGCAAAAGTCCTTCACGAGGTGCGACATAAGGCGCTCGTTCCAGGCAAGGTCTGCAGTGATGCAACGGCTGCCGAGTTCTGCCTGGCTGTACAGGAAGCCCCTTTATGTATTGGCATGTTTCACTTTCTTTGTGCGGGGGAGCCCCTAGTAACACCTGCGTACAGGGTGACTTTCAAGTACACCCACAAAATCGCTCCCACATTCCCAACAAAATACTCAACGTGAGGCACCCTTGCGAAGCATCGCAGCACCGTGAGCAGCTGACACCGAAGAAGCTGTTGACCCGCGCTTTGGATATGTCTTATCGTTGCCGCGCTGCTGGTTGCTTCGATTCACGGACGCCCGTATGCACTTGCGCCATTTCCCGAAGCGCGGCGCTTCCAAAAGTGCCGTAGCTTTGCTGGTTCCATGAAATGTGTCAAGGGCAGAGCAGTCTCAACACAAGAGCTAGGAGCAAGACTGCAAGGGCGGAAGTTGCAAAGGCTGTGTTTCTTCCTCGGATTTTCTCCTGTACGGCATGATTCTCTGCTTCTGGTCCGGTTGTTGCACCTTTCTTGAATCTACCTCGCCAGGATGCAAATTGCAAGCAAGTTGGTATCTTCTTTGCTCTCAAAGGTCCCACACTGGCGAGGGCCACCCATTTTGTCATGACCCTAGCCGTCCACATCATACAAGAGCTTAGCATAAGAAACAGTTCGAGAGCCATGGCCGCACATTGGACTCTGGCACTATTTTAGGCCGCTTTGGCCCAGTTGAGGGTGCCCTGTGGGCTACAAGCGCAAAGTCCATCCTCAGCGCGTTCTCTCGCCATCCTACCCCCAGACACTACCCATTGCTTGTCCGGCCTCAAGCTCCGCCTCGTTTGGGCACTGCATGAACAAGGCCGCCTGAAGCAAGCGCCCAGCCACCTGACAGGCTTGGATGCCCGAGCGTTGCTTTGCTTTTTTTGACTGAGCCACACCCCGCCACAAAAGAGACTGAAAGGTTGCTTGAGCAATGCTACATTCAGCTCATTTCCCAGTGAAAAAACTTTGAACCTTTCACTTGTTGCTTACCACGAACATGGTCTCGAACAGTTTACAGTCCAACTCAGGGAGTGGGTCAAAGGCTTGACCCGGTTGGAGACACACCCGCTTGGGTTCATGAGGCATTTTTGGGACGCCCGATTTTGGCCCAAATAGATTGCATGGAGGAATGCCAGCAACAGATTCCACGTCTTTGCCAAATGCTACAGATGTGACAAACCCAAACAAAAAGTGTATCACCCATCAACTTGTTGTTGTGGCAGCGACCTCCAACTTCACTGGGAACACTGGCCATCTACCTCATCAGTCAAGCTACCACGCTGCAAGTCACTGTGTGTGTCAACAGCCTGCGCGTCACATTCACAAAGCTGTCCTCAGAATCGAGGGCTTCAAGCATTGCCCTCCTGAATTCCAGACCTGAACCTAATTATGCCATTGACATTGCCTTGCAACGCAAGGAGGGGGTCAGCCAAGGCTAGGGCAATTAACCAAGTCGTCACGGCAAGCCTCACCCTCATCAGCCCAGAGGGAGCTGGAAGGAAAGGTGTTACCCACGACCAAGCAATTGGTGGTAAACAACGGTGTGCATGGCGACGCTCTTGCGTCAGCGAAGAACCAGCAAACCGAAGCGAGCGAGTGCTCGGCGCCCGACCTCCTCGAAGTCGTCGGCCGCCAAGGAGAGCTTCCGCGTGCGGAGTAGCCGACTCAAACTCCGCAGGGCGTCCTGTGCCAGCAGCTCGTTGCAGCGCGCCAAGGCGGCCTGGGAAGTGGGGCGAGTTGGAAATGGCCTAATGGAACGATGCATCTAGCCTTCCCACAAAAAAGTACATGGGGGTGTCTTTCTTAAGGGGAATTCCCCCCTCCCACAAGAAAAGGACCTGTTTCCTTTGGGGCCGGCCTTAAAAACCACCAACCAGCCAAGCAACCAACCAAGCAACCAACCAAGCAACCAACCAAGCAACCAACTAACCAACCAACCAACTAACCAAGCAACATCAAGAACACAAAGACCAGTTTGCCCCCAACAAGCACAGGGCATTCGGCTCGGGCCTTCATCAGGCCCTTGAGCTTTGCAGGTTCCGGAAACACCTGCAGCGATGGCTTGGGCTATTTTCGGTCACCCCCTACTCGACCACATGGATCACATGGCGCAAACCTACACGTAACCGCAGGCGAACATTGGCAGTGCAAACTTTGATTGCGCATTTCATGCCCAAAGAACGTAGCTGCGGTTGTGGCACGAACTCATGGCAGGGACTGCCATCTGCATGGTTTTTGCTGGCGTGCTGGGGCGTAGAGGTTTGTATTTCCATGGGAAAGGAAGGATCAGCTCAAAGTTGATCGGGGGATTGAAAATTGATGGGGGACTCCTACATTGCTTTGAGATCTTAGCTTGTGAAATGAAATCAAGCACTGACCGCTGTTGCCCACTTTTAGCTCTTAGGGTGATCGCAGGGTTTGCCACAAAGGAGTCGGGATTGGTTCTGAACCACCTCACTCCCCGCCGGACCCCAAAACATCGTCCAAGTGCAACCGAAACTCGCCTTCGGACACACTGCGCAGCTGAAATCGGTCGCCCAGGCCTGCTGGACACGTGTGTGTGTGTGTGTGCGGAGTGACAGAATGCCCTGTCACCACCCTTTCGGTTTCGCAGCAGGGGGATCAGGCTTCCAGTGACTGACCTGATCCAACGAAGCTAGGTCACTGGAAGGGAAGTAGCTGAGGACGCTCAGCTACGTACCTGCTTCCCAACAAGGTCCCCTCTTTGCCCGCGGAAATCAAGCAGATACTCATCGTACTCGAGACTCATCAGTTGTACTCGAGACTCATCAGTTGTACTCGAAAGATTAGCACTCTCCATCTGGAGTTTAAGTGTGTACACCCCATTCGTGGGGAATCCTCGGGTGTACCCATTGTGTGACCCCGGGCCGGCTCTGTCGGAAAATTTGACCTCAACGTGCTTATCATAGAACAGCGGAATTTCACATTTAATCAGGAACGAGGTTTCACTAAAGGGAAGAAAGCCGTCAGATCATAGCGACGTCTCACCACAACGGACTGCTGCCGATTTTCATTGCATTTCTTGACCATTGGTGGATCTCGTTGCTCGTATCAGTGCGGTTGATGATTGCTGACTGGTATTTGCTTTGCCTTGTGCATGTCGATTGACCATTGCAGTTGAGGGCCGCTATCTTGCATTTGCATTGATTTGAATGTTGTCGGGTCCGATTCTCTCAAGGAGGAAGTGCGCAAATTCAGAGTCAGTTGCGTCGCCATGTCACTTCGAGATCAACGGATACCTGTTCCGCCAAGAACGAGGAGTCGCTATGGGATCACCAGCCGCCCCACCGTTGTGCAATTTGGTTGCTACGGTTGAGGATTTCTTCTGGCACCAAACAATGAGTTCTCTGCGGTTTTGCATGTCCGACATTGGTGTGATCTGGCATGAGCGCTACGACAATCGTTTCATTCTCCTTCGAGATTCAGCCCCACACTCGCCCGTGCTCATGAATTTTCTTTCCCTGGAATGTTATCGCCCACCAGTGATGCTCGAGGTTCAACATGATGACAAAGTGCTGGGTTATCGATGTGACTCTTCCTCCCGGACTATTACACCACAGCTACCTGATCATCCCTCCCAAATCAAAGGAATTCGGAGTGCCAATGATCAGATGTTTACTTATTCTTCTTGGTCTTCTCGCTCGTGGCTCATCATACGCGGTGCACAACCGGCGGTTCAGCAGCAGCATGGGCTCGACGCTCTCAAACGCCTTTATGAGGCCAAAGGTTTTGAACCTCACCTTCTGCGTGACGTTCGGCGTCGACTCGGGACAAAATCTGCATGTGAGCTTGTCATGCTGTCTCTTCTTGTGCATGCTTGGGACAGTTGTTGATGCATTGTGCTTTGTTTGCATGTAGCTGGCTCAGTGGTGGATATTTTGGTCAACGGCGCTGCAAGTGCTTCTTCATCGATACGATCAAGTTGTTGGCCTTCGCAGTTCCTCTCAATGGTCAGTGTACGAAGTAAAGTCAGATCATCGACGCCGTATGTTCAAAGGAAAGTGGCGCCGCATGATTCCTAGGATTTTTCGTGAACAAGATCTCCGGCACCTTCTGGACTTTGTCATTGACAACAGTCACTTCGAGATCAACGGATACTTGTTCCGCCAAGAACGAGGAGTCGCTATGGGATCACCAGCCGCCCCACCGTTGTGCAATTTGGTTGCTACGGTTGAGGATTTCTTCTGGCACCAAACAATGAGTTCTCTGCGGTTTGCATGCCCGACATTGGTGTGATCTGGCATGAGCGCTACGTCGACAATCGTTTCATTCTCCTTCGAGATTCAGCCCCACACTCACCCGTGCTCATGAATTTTCTTTCCCTGGAATTTTATCGCCCACCAGTGATGCTTGAGGTTCAACATGATGACAAAGTGCTGGGTTATCGATGTGATTCTTCCTCCAGGACTATTACACCACAGCTACCTGATCATCCCTCCCAAATCAAAGGAATTCGGAGTGCCAATGATCAGATGTTTACTTATTCTTCTTGGTCTTCTCGCTCGTGGCTCATCATACGCGGTGCACAACCGGCGGTTCAGCAGCAGCATGGGCTCGACGCTCTCAAACGCCTTTATGAGGCCAAAGGTTTTGAACCTCACCTTCTGCGTGACGTTCGGCGTCGACTCGGGACAAAATCTGCATGTGAGCTTGTCATGCTGTCTCTTCTTGTGCATGCTTGGGACAGTTGTTGATGCATTGTGCTTTGTTTGCATGTAGCTGGCTCAGTGGTGGATATTTTGGTCAACGGCGCTGCAAGTGCTTCTTCATCGATACGATCAAGTTGTTGGCCTTCGCAGTTCCTCTCAATGGTCAGTGTACGAAGTAAAGTCAGATCATCGACGCCGTATGTTCAAAGGAAAGTGGCGCCGCATGATTCCTAGGATTTTTCGTGAACAAGATCTCCGGCACCTTCTGGACTTTGTCATTGACAACAGTCACTTCGAGATCAACGGATACTTGTTCCGCCAAAAACGAGGAGTCGCTATGGGATCACCAGCCGCCCCACCGTTGTGCAATTTGGTTGCTACGGTTGAGGATTTCTTCTGGCACCAAACAATGAGTTCTCTGCGGTTTTGCATGCCCGACATTGGTGTGATCTGGCATGAGCGCTACGTCGACAATCGTTTCATTCTCCTTCGAGATTCAGCCCCACACTCGCCCGTGCTCATGAATTTTCTTTCCCTGGAATTTATCGCCCACCAGTGATGCTCGAGGTTCAACATGATGACAAAGTGCTGGGTTATCGATGTGACTCTTCCTCCCGGACTATTACACCACAGCTACCTGATCATCCCTCCCAAATCAAAGGAATTCGGAGTGCCAATGATCAGATGTTTACTTATTCTTCTTGGTCTTCTCGCTCGTGGCTCATCATACGCGGTGCACAACCGGCGGTTCAGCAGCAGCATGGGCTCGACGCTCTCAAACGCCTTTATGAGGCCAAAGGTTTTGAACCTCACCTTCTGCGTGACGTTCGGCGTCGACTCGGGACAAAATCTGCATGTGAGCTTGTCATGCTGTCTCTTCTTGTGCATGCTTGGGACAGTTGTTGATGCATTGTGCTTTGTTTGCATGTAGCTGGCTCAGTGGTGGATATTTTGGTCAACGATAGAGATTTGGGCATTGACAACAGTCACTTCGAGATCAACGGATACTTGTTCCGCCAAGAACGAGGAGTCGCTATGGGATCACCAGCCGCCCCACCGTTGTGCAATTCGGTTGCTACGGTTGAGGATTTCTTCTGGCACCAGACAACAAGTTCTCTGCGGTTTTGCATGCTCGACATTGGTGTGATCTGGCATGAGCGCTACGTCGACAATCGTTTCATTCTCCTTCGAGATTCAGCCCCACACTCGCCCGTGCTCATTAATTTTCTTTCCCTGGAATTTTATCGCCCACCAGTGATGCTCGAGGTTCAACATGATGACAAAGTGCTGGGTTATCGATGTGACTCTTCCTCCCGGACTATTACACCACAGCTACCTGATCATCCCTCCCAAATCAAAGGAATTCGGAGTGCCAATGATCAGATGTTTACTTATTCTTCTTGGTCTTCTCGCTCGTGGCTCATCATACGCGGTGCACAACCGGCGGTTCAGCAGCAGCATGGACTCGACGCTCTCAAACGCCTTTATGAGGCCAAAGGTTTTGAACCTCACCTTCTACGTGACGATCGGCGTCGACTCGGGACAAAATCTGCATGTGAGCTTGTCATGCTGTCTCTTCTTGTGCATGCTTGGGACAGTTGTTGATGCATTGTGCTTTGTTTGCATGTAGCTGGCTCAGTGGTGGATATTTTGGTCAACGGCGCTGCAAGTGCTTCTTCATCGATACGATCAAGTTGTTGGCCTTCGCAGTTCCTCTCAATGGTCAGTGTACGAAGTAAAGTCAGATCATCGACGCCGTATGTTCAAAGGAAAGTGGCGCCGTCAAACCAAGATCCCTCGAATTTTTCGTGAACAAGATCTCCGGCACCTTCTGGACTTTGTCATTGACAACAGTCACTTCGAGATCAACGGATACTTGTTCCGCCAAGAACGAGGAGTCGCTATGGGATCACCAGCCGCGCCACCGTTGTGCAATTTGGTTGCTACGGTTGAGGATTTCTTCTGGCACCAAACAATGAGTTCTCTGCGGTTTTGCATGCCCGACATTGGTGTGATCTGGCATGAGCGCTACGTCGACAATCGTTTCATTCTCCTTCGAGATTCAGCCCCACACTCGCCCGTGCTCATGAATTTTCTTTCCCTGGAATTTTATCGCCCACCAGTGATGCTCGAGGTTCAACATGATGACAAAGTGCTGGGTTATCGATGTGACTCTTCCTCCAGGACTATTACACCACAGCTACCTGATCATCCCTCCCAAATCAAAGGAATTCGGAGTGCCAATGATCAGATGTTTACTTATTCTTCTTGGTCTTCTCGCTCGTGGCTCATCATACGCGGTGCACAACCGGCGGTTCAGCAGCAGCACGGGCTCGACGCTCTCAAACGCCTTTATGAGGCCAAAGGTTTTGAACCTCACCTTCTGCGTGACGTTCGGCGTCGACTCGGGACAAAATCTGCATGTGAGCTTGTCATGCTGTCTCTTCTTGTGCATGCTTGGGGCAGTTGTTGATGCATTGTGCTTTGTTTGCATGTAGCTGGCTCAGTGGTGGATATTTTGGTCAACGGCGCTGCAAGTGCTTCTTCATCGATACGATCAAGTTGTTGGCCTTCGCAGTTCCTCTCAATGGTCAGTGTACGAAGTAAAGTCAGATCATCGACGCCGTATGTTCAAAGGAAAGTGGCGCCGTCAAACCAAGATTCCTAGGATTTCTCGTGAACAAGATCTCCGGCACCTTCTGGACTTTGTCATTGACAACAGTCTCGACGTGATGATCGTGATAGATCCAGGACTCGACGCAGACGTGATCGGAGTCCGTCCCCTCAAGCTCACAAAGCACGCCGACGTGAGCACAATGACAACCAGGTCTCGGAGAACATGGATTGGAACAACTTGGTTTCGTGGCAACACAACCCCGGCTACAACGCTGCCAACAACTTTCCGATGATGCCTACCAATTTTCAATCGACTCACAACCCCACACAACAATTCCAATACCCGGCGATCAACTACATGATGCCGATCCCTCCTGATCCCACGCCATCCAAGTTCATGCCACCAGTGATGCCACCACCGGTCACTACTTCCCAACCTACACCGTCACCTGCACCTCCTGCGGCTCTACCGGTTCGTCCTCAGAAAGCCTGGCTTACTCCATCGCCTGACTGCGGCATTGAGTATGTCGCCGGAGCTGTTAGACGCGATTCTCAGGTCCTCGGATGCAGCTGATTTCTCTACTGAAGAACTGACTCGTCTCCAGGAAGGGATTTCTCAACAACTGACGGCTCGCGCACGTCTGGCTTCCCATCCTCATCAACCAGTACGTGCAACGCGTGGAAGCACACCATTGGAGACGATTGGGGCCTCCGACCCCTACCGGCCCGTGAATGCTTCCGACAGCGGCCGAGACAAGATGAGTCCCGTCTTCGAGCTGACTGAGGGCTAGACTCGCATGAGCAGCGCAGCGTACAAAACAAGGGTGGTCTCTACACTTGCATGATCTTGCTTGGCTGTTGTTTGAACATGGTTGTGCATGGTGCTTGTTCATCTACTAGCTGGATCGGAGCCCGCGACAATCCTCGCCTCTTGCCTCGACATGGACATCGATGATTCGAAGCAGCACCATGGCTTGAATATTCGGTCTGGCATGATCAGGAGTGGGTGCGGATATACACTCCAGGACATCCTGAAAGATGGCACCACGGTGACGCCGTGCCTGATGTCCCTGAAAATTCGTTTCGTGAATGGCGGCGGGTGACTGAGCCCGATGCGCCAGTCCAAGCATGGGACATCCGTGACTGGCAACACCAAGGGTACCAGCGCATCTTGTCTCGGATTGAGTCCTTCGCAACTCACTATCCACATGATCATGCTCTTGGTCAAGTTCGAAACTCCGATGCCGTTCCAGTTGAGGAGACCTTCACCTATGCCACTCCGTTGTCTCATGGTGATCGCCCGGCTGCTTCACAAATCGCTTCGGTCCTCTATGGCGACACTCGCAATGCTCAACGTGGTGATCTTTCGTTCCCGTCTTCTGAGCGGTTCAGGGCGGTGTCTCGCTCCCCTCGCCGTGGAGGATATTTTGGTCAACGATAGAGAATTGAGTTTGAGCATGTGATCTTCCTGCAGGAGAAAAGAGAAACCTCGCCCCTCGTAGAGGGGCGTGTGTGTGCGGAGTGACAGAATGCCCTGTCACCACCCTTTCGGTTTCGCAGCAGGGGGATCAGGCTTCCAGTGACTGACCTGATCCAACGAAGCTAGGTCACTGGAAGGGAAGTAGCTGAGGACGCTCAGCTACGTACCTGCTTCCCAACAAGGTCCCCTCTTTGCCCGCGGAAATCAAGCAGATACTCATCGTACTCGAGACTCATCAGTTGTACTCGAGACTCATCAGTTGTACTCGAAAGATTAGCACTCTCCATCTGGAGTTTAAGTGTGTTGCGCGGGCGCTTCTCACACCCTCATGCATCTTGATGCATCTTGCAAAGGGGACAAAAAGGAAAGGCCGGACATCCCGCGCAAGCACATATCGTAGGTAGACCAAGTCACCCTATTCAGCAAATGGGCTGGCACCCCATCCCGAGCTTTTGAACTCTGGCTCGCACTTCCGCAAGGTCAACTGAACAACTTTGCGCGTACGCATACCCAAGGCATTTGCACTCGATCGCGGCCATGGAAGGGCCTGGAGGCATCGCCATTCTGCAATTCAAGCGCCAGATCCCCGGCGTCAGCTTACCAGTTTCAGCACCATTTATTTGCCCCGAGCATTCGCGGGGGTTGATGGGCAAGGGAGCCGGGCAAGGGCCATTCACTCGGAGTGACGTGCGGCCTCAGAGAGAGCCGTCAAGCCTTGCAGGCCTTACCATTTAAGGTTTGCAACGAACAAACAAAAACAAGTGTTAGGGTAAACAACTATGCTAAAATGAACCAAAGCCAACCGTTGCCTGCAATAAGCTCACTCTGCGATTTTGGGCGAGGGAACCACAACTGCTGGGTTTCCCGCCTGCGCCCACAACAACTTTCCGTAGGCTCTCCGTGGTCACCCGCGGATGCCCACTCCGCTTCCGGGTTGCACGGCTGCAGGGCCACCCTGACAAGTGTCCGAGCGCTAAACCACCTCGGTGCTCAGCCCTTGATATTAGTGTTGCATGGCTGTGTCCATGGCTGCTGCTAACACTGGTGCTGCGTCGCTGCTGCTCTGTATCTCGGCAAGTTGCAACCCTGGCCTGCTTTCCAAACGCTCACGCCCCTTAACGAGAAGGGCGAATAGCTGCCCCAGCTCCATTTTTCCTAAAGGTAAGATGGAGACACAATTTATATAATGACACACAAATGGGGGTTCCTTTGCTCCGGGGCTCCAAGCACTCGCTGCGCTCTCCGGCCTTCGATCTCCCACGCCTCGCGGCCCAGGTGCTCGAGCCGCCAACGTGCCCGCAGCGCCACGGCCGACAGCAGCAGGCGCGAAGAGCAACGGAGGCCGGGCCCAGGCGCCTAACGGAGGCTGGTTCACGGGGGGCGTTTAGGGTTTAGGACGAGAAATGGAATGACCCCTATATCCCTTCAGGGAATCCCTAAGTCCATGTTTCCCTTCAGGCAATCCCTAGGTTGAATTTATTTTCCTTCAGGGAATCCCTAGATTCATTCCCTGGGGCATTCCCTACACCAGCAAGCTAGCGGCCATGGACGTCGAGTGCGAAAAAACCCGTGTGACCGGCAGTTCCTTCACCAGGCACCCCGGTCAGGAACAAAATGTAAACCGCGACCCGCTCATGGCTTCGCTGCTCACTGATTGCGGAAAGAAAAAGGGCTATTGCGTACACGATCCAATCGAATGCAATGCGGGAGGGGCAAGTTTGAGGTGTGCAGCAATTTTGCCAAAACTGCAAGATTCTACTTGCGGCACAGCCCAAGCAGTTTAGTAAAAACAGCAGCGCCAAACATATGGCGTATGGATTAAACACATTTTTGAAACATCCCATTCATGGGGCTATCAATCCACCAGTTTCATATCACCAATCTCCCCACGGCAATAAACCTAAGTGCTTCTGATACCTTTGCGGTGTTCAACCAAAAGGAGCATAGGAAGACAAAGGAGGCTTCAGCAATGGGAGCCACGGCACCGTCCTAAAATACTCGCTGCTTGTCTTCACGCGGTTTGTTAGTGTTGAAGTTGGTTTTGCGACTTACTCGCCGACAAGGAACCGTCTGAGTGCTGCACACCCTGTTCACGTCTGGTCGGAAAACGCATGAACATGCTCGGCCAAGCTTTCTGCAATGTGTTCCAAGTTCTGTTTGGCACATCCCCGGCAAGTTGCAGAGTCAGCTGTCCAGCCCGCCGCAAAAAAGCCGCAGCGCTTCCGCAAAGCAAGATGCTTTCGCCCTTCGAAGGCGCCTCGACGGACTGAAGCAATCCCCCCGCTTGGAATGCTTGAAGGGACACCCCGATCTTGTAAGTGGGAAGGGTGAAAAGACAGTGCTCCTGTTCAGCCACACCCTCCCTCCGGCCCATGTAAGCCAAACTGATCATGAATCCGGCTTTACCAATGCCACCGCGGGCTTCATGGATAAAGGGCTGCTGAGCTGCTACGCAATTGGCGCTGGGGGTCCTGGGATTCATGAACCAAGCAGTCGACAAGTCCTGCATGATCGATTGATATTTGGGCTGCTGTCCAATCTCCTTGAAGAGTCCGTCTTTTCAAGCCAAACTGAATACCAGTTTTGTCATCCTATGCTCAACCAAACTGACCCGAAAACAACACTTGTGTGGGCGAATAGGTGCCTGTAAAAAAGCGAGCCCTCTCTGTTGCAGCCACGAATTTCCGAATGCACATCACTTTGCGCAAGCCCAAGACAATAAATAAGGATAATATTTTTCGGCATGAGCCAATGGGGCTCGCAATCAAATCAACTACGCAAACTAATTTGTTCATCTTGTTAAACCAGCTAGATCTGGAAAACTGTACTTCGCGTACTACATTTGCACTACAAAGTTGCGATTTTCCAGCTGGAGCTGGAAACGCGTACTTCGCGTACTAGACTTGCACTACAAAATTGCGATTTTCCAGCTAGATCTGGACAACTGTACTTCGCGTACTACATTTGCACTACAGAGTTGCGATTTTCCAGCCGGAGCTGGAAGCCTGTACTTCATGTACTAGACTTGTGCTACAAAGTCGCGGTTTTCCAGCTAGAGCTAGAAACCTGTACTTTGCGTACTAGACTTGTACAACAAAATTGGGATTTTCCAGCTGGAGCTTGAAACGCGTACTTCGCACTACAAAGTTGCGATTTTCTGGAAGCCTGTACTTGGCGTACTAGACTTGTGCTACAAAGTTGCAATTTTCGAGCTGGAGCTGGACACCTGTACTTCGCGTACTAGACTTGTACTACAAAGTCGCGATTTTCCAGCCAGATCTGGAAAACTGTGCTTCGCGTACTACATTTGCACTACAAAGTCACGATTTTCCAGCTGGAGCTGGAAACCTGCACTTTGTGTACGAGACTTGTACTACAAAGTCACGATTTTCCAGCTAGATCTGGAAAACTGTACTTCGCGTGCTACATGTTTACTACAAAGTTGCGATTTTCCAGCTGGAGCTGGAAACCTGTACTTCGCGTACTAGACGTGTACTACAAAGTTGCGACTGAGAGACACTTTTGAGTGACACTCCTGAGCGACACTTCTGAGCGACGCCTCTGAGCAATGAGGGATCCGCCTGCGCGCCACTTTTGATCACACCTCTGAGCGACACTCTTCTGATCGACACTTCTGAGCAGCACTTCTGACCGACACTTCTGAGCGACACTTCTGAGCAACACTTTTGATTGACACTTCTGAGCGACACTTCTGAGCACACACACACACAAACGCACACATGTAGGCGACGCTTTTGAGCGACACTCCTGAGCAACAACCCAAGCGACATTTCTACACACATATCTGAGAGACACTTTTGCGCGATCCGTGGGGGGTCAGCGAGCGCGACGAAAGGCGAGGAGAGTCCGGATTGGTGCTCGACTCGTAGCATTGTGAGCTCATCATCCAAGACTTTGCGGGACGGCGTCATCACAAAGTTCGATGTCGCCGAAGCGCTGGAGCCGAAATGGATTACATTTCCAAAACTTGGAATACTCACTTGCTGAGTGGATGGCAAAACAAAAAGTTCAAACTTTATATTTTAGCACCAAAATGGTCTTCCCAAAAAGTTTAAAGTTCATGAACTCAGGAAGTGAGACAAGCAAAAATATATGAAAGGCAGGGCGCCCAAGAACGGCGAGCGGATGCCGTGGGTCTTCTTGCTGTGGTCAATGGGCTTGCGGTGCACAGGCTCTGTTCAAAATGGAGATTTCACCAAGCCGAATCCTTGATGCCGTCTGCAAGGTTTAGGGATCGCCGTTGAACAGCCCAGACAAGCTGCTTAGCTCCCTTTCCTCCCCTTAGGACCGTGTAAGGCATTGACGAGAACCCATCGCAAAGAGAGCTGGGAAGCCGAATGGACTGCAACCAAACCGCCGAGGCAGCTGTAATCGATAATGCAGAACAACATGGAGCCCGAAAAAACTTTGCACAATGCATGGAGTAATGCAGGAAGCGACCAAATCTTTGACATTGTGTCCTGCCTGCGCTTCGCCCCGTGTGCCGCTCCATTGGCAGGCTCAACGCTGTCATGCGCAGTGTGCCATCTTGGCTTTGCTTTCTGAAATCGAAAGAGATCAGAGTTGCGGGCACCCATTGGGTGGCCTTCCTAAGAACTCTTAACGACTAGTTCTTCACTTCTGGCAGGCTATGCGGGAACAATCCGCTGACAGCCCATTGGCATTGGTGCAAGCTGCCACCCTGTTGCATCCTTCCTTACGAGCCCCCAGGCTTGAGAGGAACCGCGGCGGCACATCCGTAACATCACGTCAATTTGACCCGTATCTTGGCCCAAGGGCCCCACACTGAATGCCAGGCACTGGGCTCGGATACGGGGTTTGAGTGCTCTAGGGCGTGGCTTTGGATTTTGAGAAGATTGCAGAGTTTAGATTTGGCTTTGACGCACATGGCTGGGGATTTCAGTCTTTTAGGGCGGGCCTGCTTTGGAGCATGTTCCGTTTTGGGCACACAAATTGCAGTTCCCAATGGCTCCTTTTCGGCAACCGCCGGCTTGTTCATGAGGGCCCCATTGTGCCTGTCTCATGAACAAATGGCCATGGGTCAAAATCCCGTACCCCCAATGAACATCCCAATCCCCACTAAAATGGACTAAAATGGACTAAAATGGGTGGTGCACCTACCCAAAATGGTACCATTGGTTTTGACCCACAGTCAAATCCCCAGACCACCTTGCTGCGCGCTTTTCCTTCGCGAGGGCCACGCAATCTTGGCGCACCGGGCGTGGGACTGCCACCGTCGCCGGGTTTTTGCCGACTCGCGCCGCAGGCGCAGGCCGCGGAAGCGCTGGACGGTGAACACGCCTGCCACATGAAGACGTCTAATGGTCATTTCCCGCATGGTCGAAGTGCAAGCCGGGCAAAACACGGCGAATGTTGGCAAGTGAAATAAGATCAGGGGCATAGCATCGACAGTACCCAAATTAGGGCTGCGGGAAATGCAAACTTCTGTCAACCCATGGGCCCGAATGAGTTTTCGTTCAATCTAGGCATGCACACCACACGATCCCGCCTAAGAACTGCCGCAAGAGCTGCGGCGGCAAGAGACGCAGCGCGTGTTGCAGCAGCAGCGCTCCGCAGCGCAGCCATTGCCACGGGAGAGCCGCGGTTGGAACGCCTGGGAAACAGCAAGGGCTCCTTACAGGATAGCTTTCTTTGACGAAATCCTTCGCAGTGCTTCCCAAACACTTTTCTCTTTATATAGCAAGGATACATCAGCTTTCGTTCCTGGGAATTCACAGGGCCAGGCCCAAAGCTTCTCAGGGCTGGCTAGAAAGTGTCCAGCCACAAAGCCGGGCCGGTAAACTATAGCTGCGACCTATTCAGAAGAAATTCAGGCAGCTTCCAGGAAAGCTTCGGAGCAAAGGACCCGCCCCAAATTTGCCTGAGTTTGACCAATATGGAGACATACGTGCACGAATCCCGTCAAACCGCTGCGAACTGAACTCTTGTGTGTTCTCTCCACTTTTGGGCATTTTTCTTCACATCCAACCTCCAAAGGCCCCAAAAGGGCCCGCGCCCAGCAGCCGGCTTCACACTGATCCTTCACTCAGCCATCCATGTGAAGGATGGCTAATGTTCGCTGGCCTTCCGAAGCCTCCGGCTCAAGGCTGGAAGCTGCCTCCCATTGGCCTTGAGAATTTCAAAGCAGCGCAATGCGAAAGCCAAGTGGAGCTACCACAGCGCATGGCTCAACGCCAAGGGAGCGTCACGCACGCTTGCACACAGTTCGCTGTAAGTTGTGAATGTATTAGTTCTGCTCACGCCCCAGAAAAAAGAAAGAACTGACAACCAGGACGAAGAAGTCTTCCCAAAAGAGGCTTTGACTGGCCCTGGTCTGCCATGTTCCCGGACAAGCGAAACCCGGCAAGTCCAGCCAAACAGGCAGGGTTTCATACACGAAAAGGACCAGCTGGGCCATGGCCTGACTCGGATTCGGAACGAGCTGCAGGAAGGGCAGCTCAGCCACAAGAGGAACTGCTCCTAAGCGCGTCGGTGGCTGAATGCTGGTCTGAAAATCCACTCAAAGGCCAGTGTTCATGGAGGATTCGGGCAGCCCTTAGAAGCAGCTGAGGCCTGTGGGATCAAGCCCCTGAAGAACTGCGTCACTGCTTCTGATCACAAATCTCAATGAGCCTCGTCTGCTCCAAATACCGCCAAATTGCCCTAAGCAAGGCCCCGGCAGACTGTATAGGGCTCAACTTTGTGCCCCCCGATGGGATGAGCCTCGTATATCTACGTATACATCTCTCTCTCTCTCTCTCTCTTTCTCTCTTTCTCTCTTTCTCTCTTTCTCTCTTTCTCTCTTTCTCTCTTTCTCTCTCCACGGCGTCTGCGTGTAATGTTTATTTTCGCACATCCAAGCATGCATGTCTATAGCTGTATGTATGAACATATGCATACACACACATATAAATATATATATATATATATAGAGATTGCACATGTATACATATATACATACATACAAATAGATACACACACATATATGTAGATACACACATATATGTATACACACATGGTGTATACAACATATACACCATATTGTGTATGCAAGCTAACCAAACGGCACCACACACGAGCACGCGATAACTCTTTCATCCGAGCAGTGTGTTGGTGCCAGGGACTCATCTTCCCCTGTCAGATGACCAACGCTGGGTGGGCCCCATGGGCCACCCAACTCACAATTCTCAAAAACTGAAGAACGGGTGTGCAGACTGATAGCGCCCGCCCCTGAGCCGGGGCCCGTGGCACCCAGGCCACAGGGGGGTCTGCCACCAGGGGAAGTGAGTCACCCACCGGCTCCGGTCACGGGAGCATGGGTGGGCCCACGCTAAGATCAAATGCATCTCCATTCAGGAGACGCGGGAGAAAAACAAACTCCTCACAGAGTTCCTGCTTGGGGACCCTTTGTAAAGGGTCGAACCCAGAGAAATCCGGGTGCGTCAGCTCATCAGCCCATTGATTGAATTCACGGGGCACATGGTTGGCCGCCAGCGAGCAGCCATGGGTGTGGAGCAGGAAGACCAGCTCCATCAGGATCGCCGCCGTGTAGGGCTTCTTGGATCCAAGGTTGAGCATCGCCATGACGTTGCCCTGATTGTCACTGCCCACCGGGAGTCGGACCCGGGAGGACAGAGGGCCTTGGTGCGTGAGGATCATGTTACAGAGGAAGAGCGTGCCCAGCATCTCCAGAGCTGCAATCCTCCGCTTTGGATCCCCATTCTTGAAAGCCCAAGGGTACTCCTCCACGTGGATCTGCTCATGGAACCAGTACACCTCCTTCTTGTCCGGTTCCACTGTGTTGGAGCACCAACCTCCCACAAATGCCAGTCCGTCGTCCGAGGCGCTAGCGTCGCTGCAACCCCACCAAGAGGACTTTGGCAAGTAGGGGGAGTACTGGACGAAAGGCGTGTTGAAGAGGAACCGCAGCATGAACGCCAGCATCCTGACCACCTTGGGGGGTTTCCTTCCAGGCCCAAAGTGGCTGGAGCATCGACTTCGCCAGCGGACATGCAGCCGTTGCCCATTGGATGCGGCCCAGGGCCTTCTCGATGTCCTTTGAGTGCATCGCCTGCCCTTCCACCATGGTCTGCAAAACCTCCATGACCAGGATGTGTTTGTTGGCTGCCATGAGAACCTGCGGGATGTTCGGGTGGACCACGAAGCCCAGCCATGTGTTAACCAAGTGCGTCTTCTTCCAGCTAAGTGGGGTGCCCAATGCCAGGAGTGTGGCCAGCAGCGCCACCGCCAAGTTCACTGCCCCCTCACTTCGAAGCAGTCGTCGACGAAGACGAAGTTCCAATCCACTTGAGGGAAAAGTGCGTAGAGGACCCTGAGCAGAAGGGCTGCCAGGCGTCCCCAGTAGGATTGGGCACTGGCCATGCCATATGTGCTGTTCACCCACCATTCTTCCCCCAGTGAGGCCACCGCCAGTCCTTCCTGAGGACCTTCACTTTTTGGTGGGCCTTGGTGACGTCCGCCTTGAGCAGCACCCACCTGGTGCCCGGCTCCGGCCATAGCCAGCCCCCAGGTGGAGGTTTGACAGACCCCCCCTCGGGGCCAGAGGCACCCTGAGAGTCCCTCCGCAGCTGCCGCATGTAGCCAATGGAGAGCTTGAACCCCATCCAGCACCGTCGGAGCCGTCGTCCTTTCCACCGTCTGGTTCCTGATGGTGTCATTGGCCCCTCCCACCGAGCCATCGTAGATCGTGCGGATCTTGTCCCCCTCGTCGATGCCCGCTAGGGGGCCGGGACAAAGGTCCTCGCTGACGCAGCCACAGCGCGATGCTGCCTCCTCCTTACTGAAGGGGCCCTCCACCATGCCCATGGGGACCTCCTCCAGAAATGTGCCCCGGATGAGATCGCTGAAGTGATCCGCCGAGGGGTAGTTGGGTGGGGGAGTTCCTGGAACTCCGGCTCCTCCCCTTTGAGCTCCTTCTTGAGTGGCCAGATGCCCGGCGAGGTCAGGGGTGGGTCCGTGACCCCCAGTGGGACCCCTTGCTCCAGGTCCCGGGGAAACTGGTGGTCGTCCTGAATGTTCAGCGCCACGCTGTGCAAGATGTCCAGGAAGAAGGGTTGGCCGTCCGCTGGTCGGCCTGCCCCCGGCGCCAGAATCTCCCTGATGTCCTCCAGCAGGTCCTCCGGGAAGGGATGTGACCCATCCCCCAACGAGAGCGACTCCTGGAGCTTGTCCCCCCACGGCGAAGTGAGGACACAGATCTTGGCCCCCAGCGCTGCTGCTTTGGACAGCGGTCGGGCCCACGGGGCCAACCGTCCCCATTAAGCCTTTCCTCCACCGTCTCTTAAGGGACGCTGCTTGAAAGCCATCTGGAGGTACATGACCTTGTCGGAGATATTGGGGTCGTGCGTGATCGGCAGGATGGTGGGCCGATCCGAGATCTCCATGCCCGTGTCGATGTCCCCGCCTCTGGATTATCCGAGGCCGAGACCGGAAGTGAGCCCAAGGTCAGACCTGCCAACGCTTGTTGGCCCGCCTTCAGCCTTCGGGACTGGCGCTTGTTGTCCCCTTGGACGCCTCGGGGGGGTCGTTGGGTTAGCCTGGGGCGTCATGCCACCCGGCCTCAGCGCCTCCAGGACGGGTCCCGCTCGGCAAAGGATGGCCGCTGCGAGACCCTGCATCATCTGCTCCGGGTACTGGTTGAGGTCACTGGAGTTGAGCTTTTCTCCCCTGGGGTGAGACCCGTGGTTGCAACGCAGGTCATGCCAATGGTGGAGAGGAAGGTCCGTTGACAACGCCGGACTTCACAACCACCTGGCCCAGGCGGCACTCATCGAACTTGATGAGGGAGTGGTGGAGTGCACTCGCCCATTGAACGTAGGCCCGCGTGACCCAGATCGATGAGCACCTCGCTGCGCTCGGGCTCTTGCTGCACTCCATCGGGTCCATCGGGTGCTCCAGGAAGGAGGAGCCAACCTGCGGGACCGTTAGCTGACCTAGCCCCTTGTAGGCCAGCGAGGTCAGGTACATCTGTCGGAGCATGAGCACGCTGTCATTGTTCGTGTCCTCCCTGACCCGGGGCTCCAAGTCCTCTAAGCCCCACAAGGTCTGCTCTGCTCTGCCCCTCACCGGCGGCGGGCCACCCGGTTTGGGGAACCACCTGAGGATGCTCCACGTCCTGCAGTTGGGGCCACCTCCCACCAATGCGACCTTACCCGCCATGGCCATCCCTTTCTCCTGATATCCACCGCCCAAATGTACTCCGAGAAGGCCGGGTTGTAGGCATGGAGGTAGGCATCCAGGGCCCCCGCATCATCCTTCCCGGCGTACAGCAGGATGAGGGACGGCTTTGAAGACCCCGGCACTGGCCTCGGCGTCCACCCCAGTCTGAGCCTCAGTCTTTCCGGGATGTCCTGCATCCATGGGAAGGTGGGGCTTGCCCCCCCTAGGGATTCCGTGCTACCTTTGTCTGATCCCCCCGTCATCTGTCCCCGGGCTTGATGCTTGCCCTGGCGGTTCTTCCCGCCCTTGGAGCGCCCCTTGCTGGGCGGATCCTCACCTCTGGGTCTCTCTGGGGGGTCTACCCACTGCCTCGGTGGGTGCGGGGGAAAGGGATGCTTCCGCCCTTCTGGAGTGCCCTGGCTGGGACCGCTCCTCTTCTTCGGTGGAGGGGCTTCCGGGGCCGGTGGCACCCTGGAGAAGTCCCCTCCCATCTGAGGCCGTCCTGGCCTCCCCCGCTCTGTCTGCCATCCGCTGTGGCTCTGGTGGGGCTGGCTCTCCCCCTCTGTGTGCACTCTCGCACTGGTGGCCTGTGATCCCAACTGAGACCGGGAAGCCACGGGGCCTATGGCACCCTGGGTGGCCTCCTGTCACTTGGGAAGGTGAGGGCATGCCTGGTCCGGCCATGGAACCGAGGGGGAGTTGGGGGACTTCCCTTTGCCGCCCTTGCCCTTTGGCTTGGACCTGGTCGGCCCCGAGGGCCATGCGCCTTTCCCCCCCTTCTTCGGCTTCTCCCACTGAGTCTGCCACACCTTAGGTGCCTTGCCCTTGTTCTTCCCCTTCTCCGGCGCCCTGTTGAGGTGCTCATAGACCTCCCGTAAGTCGCCCCTGATATTCTTGAGGGCATCGGAGAGGGTGGTGCCCTGGTGCACCATCTCGTGGATCTTCCTCCACGCATTGCGCTCTGCAAACAGCAAGGTGTCACTCGGGGGAGGCCTTCTGCCAGCGATGTCCTCCCCATAGAACCAGTCATACCAATCGTCCAGCTCCGCCTTGGTGACCTTCAGGTTGCCAAACTGTGGCAGTGCCGCCGTGCACATCAGGAGCGTCGTCCTGAAAGTTTGGTGCAAACGTTCCAACTGGCGCCGGGATGTGGGGTGGCTCCTCACCTCTTCTTCATCCTCCCTGTCCCAGCCGTCCACCGTGATCTTCTTGTGGGTGGATGAGGGGCGTTCCCCTCTTCCGGGAGCGCGCTCACAATGTGTTTGGCCGGGATGTAGCCCAGCTCACCCTTGGCAATCAAG